ACATAATAATGGATTGAGGGAAATGGGTACGTGGAGCAAATGGAATGAAGGGGTTAGGCAATGCCACGTGAATCGGACGGACAAGAACATTGAGTGGGGTTAAGTGGTTAGATTGAAATATATATAAATTGAAAAGCGTAAAGTGGAAAGAGAGTGGGTCTATAAATGAGGGCTAAAGGAGGACCCTTTGACAATGATCCTGAGGATCAGATGAGATCCTATGTAGATACGCGGTTTTGAATTTGAATATGCTTTTACGCAACCCACCCTAACTAGTCTTCTTTTATTTCCTTTGCCAAAGTATTTCTGTCTTTTTCATTCTTGCATATAAATACATGGACTTTTATGTCCTCCATTTTGTTGTTGCAAAAAATAAAATGCTGGCCAAAAAGGGTTTGATTGATAGTTATCAACAATTGCCGTATTAGGCAAACCGTAATGGCGACTACTAATCGGTGAGCTATTTGGTTTGCGGTTCGTGGAAATGGTTAAAGGTGGCAGTAGAAAGAGGCGGTTGCGCATTTTCTCGGACGCGATAGGAAAGGGTGCTTGCGGATGGATTTAAACCATCGTAGACGTTTGTTCAGAAACTACATATATAACTAAAACTATTTTTGACTTGTTATCATTAAATTATATACCGCTATAACTTACCGCCTTTAATCTCACCATTTTCTTTTTAATTTTCACAATACTTTTAACTACATCGCTTAAATTTGGTCATTAATTACATACAAAAAATAACTAAATCAAATATGAGAGAAATAGAATTGTCGCTTTTGCAACTGAATTTTTTATGAACGACAACTTCAAATGGATCAAACTCACATGGACAACGGTTCAACTCGCCGACATGATTGTTTAATTCACATCTACAAGTTTGGCACAATGGGAGATCCAAATCATTTAATCTAGAAAATAGTAACTATAGAGCCTTTTTTTTATAGAAAATATAGTAACCATAGTGATGGAGGTCCCAAACAATTGTTGATCAAGAAACAGAAACAAGAACACTTTGGTTCTTAAAGACTTAGAACAAGTTACTTCAATTTTCTCTTCTCCTTTCATCGATCCATCGTAAGGTCATTAAATAGAAAATACAAATGGAAGTTATAGCCTACAGTTTAGGAAGTTGGGAGAGTGGAGAATATGCTCCTCTATTAAGAAAATAAACAACATAATAAACTATTAAATATAATTTGTTCTCCATCACATAGAGCTTGATATATGACAAAGAGAAATATGAATTTAATTTTAATTCTACGTTCAATGGTTCAAATGTAACAGATTCGTCAAACAAATGCGAAAATAAATTCGTCAAACAA